AATCAACATCGTTTCAAGTTTCGATTTGTTTCCAAGTTTCTCTTGATAGAAATCTGATTTGGAACAAGAGATATCTTTTACTCAAATCCTCAATATTGGAGAGTATGATTGTTTAACTTCAAATATCTTGTTTAATAAAAATTTATTCATCGCGAAGTTTTTTCTCAACAGTCAACTGTTCTCCTGTCTTGTTGTTCAACTCGACAGTGAACACTCTTGCAGTCATACTCATTTATGGTAGATTTCTACGCTAAAGACGATGCCGCAACAACTCTCATACTCATATTCTAGTTGGGACAAAACTTCGTTGAAACAGAGTATTATGTTTTTATATGATCGACTTTCAGTGAAAATAACAAAAGAGAATCTTTTCATTGAGAATTCAATAGTTTTAGAGAATAGTCAAATCTAAATTTTTCTACAATATTTCATTTACAAGACGAAAATTATAATACCAGCATCTTGGTTAAACAATCGAGTTGAAAAGTCATCATTTTTGAAGAATAAGCATATTCAAAAAGATGTCTTATAAAATTTAACAAGTTGGTTCTTCAATAAATCAGTAAATCTTGCCTACCTTTTGTTTGGGTAGTATTTTCATTAGACTATTTTTTGTTTGAAAACTATCATTGTATACATGAAACGAAATATATGAAATTCTGATTTTCACATCAATGCAAAACCGTCATGCGCCCTTTTAAGGCTATTTTTTGATCTCAAATTCTCGTCACAAATCTCTATCTAGTAAAGATCAGGACACAACCATAGACAGAATAGATTCCACAGTTCCCACAAAAATTGAGAAAACTTTTTTTTCAATTTTCATGAGAAGTACGCTCTCTAATCTATTTGGAGTGATATCTTGACGCCTGGTGGATAGAAATTTTTGGCGAAAACTCTCGGATATATAATAGACTTGTACTTTTTCGATTGCTTTCTGCATAGATGTCTGTAGAGAACGATTCAGATATTCAAGACTTTTGCTTTTTAGGAGATAGATTTGAATTTGGTTAAGATGATGATAAATAAGCACAACCATACCCATGCGCCACATCATGTTATATTGTAGTCACGAGTCTTGGCTATATTTTCCAGAACCCCGAAATCTATATCATTAAATTTGCAGGAGAAATCTGAAATACACGTAAACGTATGTTTTTAACTTTATTGTTCGCATAACTCTTGAATATATCGATGTGATCTGTTCAAATTTCTACTATGAACTATGTACGACAAGATACACATTTTCTGAAAATAGTATCTAGATCAGACATTTCAGGACAAAACAAAGTTGTCGATAGCTAAGTAATTTGTATTCTCGTTTTTCTATTTTTTTTTAGATGTCCTTTCTACTCACAAACCTTCCAATTTTCTTTCCGTATGCATTAGAACTCTTTGACAATCATGTTCCATCAAGTATCATACTGCAACAATTTCATGAGTCTATTTTTACGAAACATTTACAGAAATAATTTATAATCACCGTATAATAGTAATAACATATGTAAGGTCCACAGTTTGATGCTACCAAGGGCTGCACTGATAAGCCTTGTACTCTCTCGTCATTTTTTTTTCAACAGTGTATTGTCGAAATTCAATGTTCGACAATACTACTTTATTGTACTGTTCATTTCTACATATTTCATGAATTTAAATATCTTTTTCCTTTTTCAAACGCCTCAAAAATGAATAGACTTTCGACTCAATCATTTAGAATAATGCGCTGAAAAAATGGATTGAAATCGATGTCCATGTTGTAACTTATATGCAACTGCTCTCATCTACATTTAATAAGAAGCAATAACTAGACCAAAATTCACTTTTATGAGTTCAAAAAACCAGATTCTACATTCATTCATCATCATTCAAATCCTTTCGTTTATTCGATTAAATGTTCTTGATACCAAAAATACATTTCAACAAGTGTTATGCATTTGAATCGATATTGAATTTTTGTACTCGATGATTTCCGAAATCGACGACATAGAGATTGCCGTGTCGATCGAATGACAAACCGATGGGCACTATGAGTTGGTTCGATTGTCCTCCTGCACCGTTTCCACCAAAAATGACACTTCCCTGTTTGGCTCCATTGGGCCAAAGCATGATTCGATGATTCCCTGCATCAGCCACATAGACAGTGCCCAATTGATCGACAACGACTCCTCGAGGACATGACAATTGTGTAAGACCATTTCCTTGCCCTTGATCACCAGCCACGATAATGCCTTGTTTTGCACCTTCCACCCATTTCATCACACGATGATTGTTCCATTCAGACACGTAGACTGAATGATCTCGATCGACGAATACGTAGTATGGGTAAGAGAGTTGATAGAGACGATTTCCACTTCCATTGCCACCTGCAACCACTGTTCCTTGAGATTCTTCTCTTCGATATCGTCTCACTTCATGGTTTCCACTGTCAACGACATAGAGAGATCCATTCTTGTCTATTGTCAAACCCGCACATCCGATGTTGGAGATGATTGTTTCTCCACTTGTCCCATTTCGACGAGGC